GATTGATGCATTTTACGATCATCGGCATTTGTTTAAGACTTTGTCGCATCTTTTCGATACGGATACAGTAACGATCATAGCGATCAGTTAATCACTTTTGACAAGAAGAAGAATAAGAAAGAGAGAGGATTAAGTTAAGGGAATTTTTGACTAGTTACTCTATAATTTAGACTTTTTAACTAATAAAGTCTAACTTTCTACTTGTCTGCCTAACATCATGTTTTTATTCACCAAAGCAGTGGCAGCGATTCCTTCCTACGTCTTTAGTGTCAACATCAGAAGATTCTTTGTCTAAGTGTTCCTGTTCCTCTTTGCCGCAAATAGCTGGCGAATGAAGGCAAATTTCCCTTTTGCACGGCTCGAGAACTCCGTGATGGCTCCACCGTTACTCTTGCTGGTGTCAGTCTCAGTCTCAGGCAGAGGCTGAGGTGGAGAAGGAGTGAGGGTAAGGAGGAACTCGTTGAGCAATCTGATGATCTGGCTGAAGCTTGGCCTCATGTTTGGGTCCTCCATCCAACACGATTGCACTATGAACGCCAGACTCGGAGATATTCCCTCCGGCATTCCCGGCCTCTCCTGCTGCAATGTTTTCAAACACACAAACATGTTGGTTTTCCACAGAATACCTCAATTCACATGAGAGAGAAGCTGGAGAAGAAGGTCTAGACCTTGAAAGCTGCTGCGTAGGCGGCTTGCAGGTTGGACATCCCTTCGAATGGCATCCGATTGGTCAGAAGCTCCCATAGCACGATTCCAAAGCTGTACACATCTACTTTGTTGTTGTAATGCTTCTTCTCTCCTTGACGCAGCGTCACTGTACTATAAAGCTACGCAGGACATGTACATATGCATTGCTTTGCTTGATAATGTTGATGTAGTCTCTAAATCATGTACACAAAACTGACAGAGCTCAGCAGGGATATATGATAAAGGACAAACCTCAGGAGCCATCCAACGGTATGTCCCTGTCTCTGCGGTCATCATCTCTGTCACTGTTTCTTCCCTAGCAAGCCCAAAATCAGCAAGTTTCACGGATTTGTGATTCTCCGTCAGCAATAAGTTGTCTGCGCCATCGTTTTAAGTCCATCAAGCAAAACAAATTAGAGCGCAACACAAATCAGTTCCTATCAAGTCTGATATCTACTACTCCTAGTAAGTCATAGAACAGTTGAGTGAGTACCAGGTTTGAGGTCTCTGTGTATGATTCCATTGGCGTGCAAGCAGTCCAAGGCCCGGGCAATGTCAAGGGCAAAGCTCAAAGCGACACGGAGATCGAGCAGCTCGGGGCGGATGCTCATGAGATATTTACGCAGTGACATCCCTGGGAGCAGCTCTGTTACTATTACCATCAAAGGATCTTTACAGGCTCCAATGAACTGCCAAATGTATAAGCATATCGGTTTAGAGATACAAAAGAACTCTCACAGTTGTGAATTCGTATAGCAAGAGAAAACACACCTTTACAAGATTTTCGTGTTTGACTCGGGACATCATGTTGACTTCACGGATGAAACGGCTCTCGAGTGAAGATTTCTCCTCTGGTTTGCTCCCTCGGTGGAGAACTTTGATTGCAACAATCCGATTACCATACCTGGGGGAAAAAATTGGTGATAAGCTCAAAAAGCTTGAAACAACATTAACTAGTTTTCTTCTGCAAGAGCACAGAGTACAGAGCTTAAAAGAAACAAAGAGAAACCATCCCTGAATCACGAGCAGTAGAGCAGCATACTATACTATCAATCGTAGAGGCTGTAAGCTATCAGTCAGAAAAGATGATGAGTTAGGGGATATAGAGACAGACCTTCCTTGATAGACTTTGCCGTGAGCACCTTCCCCAATTTTGGAGCCAATGAACAACATTTTGGGATCAACAAGCAAACTCTCGTCAATCGTCAACTGAGAACATCCCGAAGAACCGTTCTGCGTCTCATCGCAACTCATCTTCGCTTAACCCTCAAACCACATCCACCGATTTCTACTTTGTCAAATCTGATTCTCATTCACTTGTTCCAATCTATCTCAAGCAACAACCATAAACCCTAATAATTCGAAGGAGACAACAACCCTCGCCATCTGCAGTTCCCATGGCTCAATGAGAAGCTCTGTATCGTCACGGCTCCTAACCAGCAACCCTAAATCGAATGAGAAGAAAAGAGGTCGAGTAGCAGCAGCTCTAAAAATTCCCAGAGAGAGAAGACGAAATAGAGGAGCAAAGAGCATACCCAGGAGAAGGCAGAGAATATCCGTCGGAAGAGACGATCGTTGCCGTTGCCGGTGCCGTGA